ACCTCTTGAATTATAGTTATGTACTGATATTTAACTTGTGTTACTAACCAAGGTTAGGTTTGACATTCACAGAATTCATAATTGAATAAATATTGTATACATGCAGTTTTGGTGTAATAAATCAGAAGGTATTACAAGTCATAACAGTTTGTCAAAACACGTTTTGTGCAATAACCATTTGCCATGTAACCGAGCCAAAGTATTAAGCTTTACAATATGTGTGAAAATAATTAAATACGGAGTAATTACACTGTGAGAAACTTACCTGTTTGAATCGTTTTATCAGAAATACTTCGATGTCACTTCCTCAAATATGTTCTCAGGAATATAAAAAATATGTTGTTTCAAATCGTTGTAACGTTACTACCCACTAAACAAACGTAAATGTATCAAAAAAAATAAAATAATGATCAGTCTCTGTGTTAAAAAAAATCAGTTAAAAAAATCGCGTATTATAACGGCGCTTTCAGAATGTAGGGATCATGTGTAAAGTGCCTCACTGTATCCTTATCTAGACTGACCAGGTTTTTACGGTTACATTTATGTTCTTGGCAGACGCTCCCTTACCAGGCGTCAGGTTGGCATATGGAATGTTTATATAGTGTTGTGTTTAACAAGGTAGTAGACTATGGCTCAGTGAATGAAAAAATAATCAAAACTACTTCACACACTCTCCATACACACTCCACACAGGAGGAGGAAACATCATTCACATCAGAGGAGTATAGAAAGACATCAAAGCCTGTCAGTAAACAAAGTCCACATTGTTTTCCATTATTATTCATTTCCTCTTGTTCATGCTCTCCACTGAGCTAGTAATGAGTTGTGGTGAGTGTAGACGCATAAAATTATCTTAAATATTATTGGGCTATTTATGATGTGGTATATTTTAATTATATATGGATGCACTTAAAATCAAAACCAAATGAAGTAGGAATCACTGCATTGAAGACATTATCTTAACACACTCCGTTTTACCAAACCTCACCTCCATCGTGTTTGAATCACTGCTTAAAGTGTTGAAGTTGTTTCATTAACCTCATGACGTGTGTTCATGGAAGCTGGGATGATTGATACATGACAAGGGCCTCCGTCACCAAGACAACAGGCTCTAATGGAGACAGAATTAGAAGAGGCCCCTCCTCCTGAAGTACATAACCCCTGTCTTTGATCTGGCCTGCACTTGCTCTCCGTCTCTCTGCTGCACTGAGGTAAGGCCTCTCTCTCTTTCTTATAATTCACTTATTTAGTTCTTTTCTAGATTGAAAGATAAATACCAAAATATTTCAGCAGATGTTAATTGATGAATAAATAATATTTAAATAGTAAAATGTTTACAGTATATATTCAGTTTTTTTTTTTGAGTATTTAAACATAGGTAAACATTTTTTACCATTTATTATATATATGTATATATATATAAATATATATTTTCGTATATATATTTCAGATAAATTTCAGGTAAATGTTAATTGATTAATACAATTAAATGTAATGTGTAATTATATTTTAAATGAAATGTTACATACAGTATATATTTAGTGTGGTCAGAATTGTATTCTTATTAAAATGTTTTACATGCTTATATATATATATATATATATATATATGTGTGTGTGTGTGTGAATGTAATTTTTTGCAATATTAATATATTTGGTTTGCATGTGAATAAATGTAATATTAAAATTCATCAGGGCACAAAAGCCTCAAAATGTTATTTTTTGATTGCTGACTGAGCCTCAAATGTAAATTTAGCACATTTTTATTTGCTTTCCAGGAAAAAGTACCTTTTTTTTTTGAAAAATGAATATTAACATGGATTAAACAAGTTTTTTTTGTAAATTTAATGTGATGCATTTGAGTATTATGCTTTGACATTGCATAATTAACCATAATAATATTAAATTCAGAGCCCAAAGTGAGAAGCTGTTTTGTTTAATTAGTTTGCTACCATTCACACGTTCAGTAAATATGCTTTCCAGTAAATATGACAGAGCCTTTGTCATGTATATGTCTGTGTGTGCTGTTATCTGATACCTGAACAGACTGCTGTGGGGAGCATGTCCACTGACTGTGTGAGGTCACTCTCAGACAAAGCCATGCACGAACATCTCTGTGAGTACCGCAGCCTGCTTTTCACTGCATTTCTGCATGGATAGCTGCATGCACAATGTTTTTTAAGGAAAAGAGCTATATAATGACAATAAAAGGGTCAAAATTTGGGTGAACAGCATCCAGCAGGAATAACAAAGGCGACAGTGTGACTGATACACACAGACCAGCTTTGTGAACCTGTCTCTGAAATGTTCTCCTGCAGATGGGAACGCTGAAATGGACAATCAGAAGCATAGCTCCGAGGAACATCAGCAGGACAAACCGGGACAGAAGAAACCCCGCAGGAAAGACACTCCCGTGCTCAGCAGCCCTCCACTCATACCAGGCAAGACTTTGATTTCTGTCATCCTTTCACTCAATCACCCTCACGTCCTCTCCATCCATCTCTTTGTCTCAGTTCTCTGCGCTTTTCTTTCGCAGGCGTGAGACTGATGAAGACAGAGGCTCGAATGATTCATCAGGAGGATGAGGAGAAGGAGATGAAGAAGTAGATGTCTTTAAAAACATTCAGTTTTCATTCTTGTTAGTGTTATTTTTGATTGTCGTCTGAGCCTTCATTAAATGTAGGTTTTGCAGATATTTTTTGCGTTGTCATTTTGTCATTTGAGTGTAATGCTGTAGAAACAACTTGCAATGATGCAAAGAACATCTTTTTAAATCCAACATGAACATCGTAGCATAAAGGTTGGAAAAGTGTGAATTTGGTGCATGTGTTTTATTTGTATGTCATATGGACGATATTTATCTATATCAACATCAATATCTGCAGAACTACTATAATAATTCTGAAAGTGGTGGTCAACATAGTATGTACATGTACAGGTGTTTCAGTGTGTGATTATGTATGAACAGCAGGTTACATTAATTGGGTACATCTCAAGACCCCAAAATAATAATAAAAAAAAAATATATATGTGGTGCAATTAAGGAGCATCGAAACAAGCATGATCACATGACCACACCTGCCTTATGACTGATTTTTTTTTCTTTTTAAAATAAAAAATAGTGAATGCATCAACAGACATTTGAATGGTTCTTTGTGGAACCAAAAATGGTTCTTCTATGGCATCGCTTGAAGAACCTTTTGAAGCACCTTTATTTTTAAGAGTGTATCAACCAATCAAATGAGTTTTGCAAAATTCAGCTTCACAATCAAAATGATGAAATCACTTCAATGTCTCTTAGATATGAAGAAAACGCTGACATAAGCACAGAAAAAAAAGAGATGTCCTCTTCTGACTCAGTTCGGAGTCATCACACAGCTAAACAGGAAGATGAACACAAATATTCTATGAATGTCAACAGAGAATGATTCATAATTAATAATAGATTTAAGGCAACAATGCTTCCTTCTTTTTTTTTTTTATCTTTCTTGCTTTCCAACCAGTGACTCATAAGAAGTATGCATGAATGATGGCTTGCAATGACCTCCAGATACATGACGTACAGACATTATAATCATCTTTGGTTGAGGCAGCAGAGACATTTACACTGGATTTTGCTGCCTACTTATAACAGCCTATTTACAAGGAGGCCTTTTTTTCCCCTTATTTACTTTTTTTCTGCATTTTACAATTTATGTATGAAACTGATTTACAGAAAATTCACATGGACAGGTGCATTATACTTTGAGAAGATGAGCGGCACAGACAGGGACATACATACCTCGCTAGGACAGTGAACTAAAGTGTAATATCAGCATGCAGCACCTGACAGAAGATGCTCGTGCTAAAACATACTTTCTAAACGTTCTATTTCTTCTTTTACCAGATTGAAAAATAAAAATAAGATTCCTTTAAATCTCTGTCATAATTCTCTCAGAGATTGGATTAAGCATGAATAGTACACCTTCCTACAATTAATCTATATTGATCATTGTTCATACCAAATTTCCCTATAAACACTTCATAAATAATATAATCTTTTATATACATTAAATACAAAAATAGAAGAACTCAAACTATAACCTAATGTCAAAATAATTACATTTACTACACTTTAAGGGTTTGAAGAGCTTACAATGTTTGCAGAGGTTTAATTGGCCCATCGGATTTGGCTCATAATAACACAGAAATCAGCCATAATTTGTTATTTAAAAGGGCAACTGTACCTTCATTAATTTTAAACGGATAGTTCACATAAAAAATGTAAAATTTGCTCACCCTCAGGCCATCTAACATGAGTTTTTGTCATCTGAACAGATTTGGAGAAATTTAGCATTACATCACTCGTTCACCAATGGATCCTCTGTAGTGAATGGGTGCCGTCAGAATGAGAATTAAATTACAGTTAAAATGCCTTGATGGATTTGATTCTTACAAACATTCGCTTCACAAGATGTTAACTGATGGACTGGAGTGGCGTGGATTATTGTGATGTTTTTATCAGCTGTTTAGGCTCTCATTCTGACGGCACCCATTCACTGCAGAGGATCCATTGGTGAGCAAGTTATGTAATGCTAAATTTCTCCAAATCTGTTCTGATGAATAAAAAACTCATTTACATCTTAATTGGCCTGAGTGAATTTTCATTTCTGGATGAATTATTCCTAATATGTATAGTGGGGTTCAAAAATCTGAGGCTAATTTAGTATTTTTCCAATTTAATTGAAGAAAATGTATTCATTTTAAAAAATGTTAAATTACAATATACTAAATGTATTAACAATTTGAGTGAAAAGTTGAAAAGTGCACATTAGTAATTACTAATCATAACACTTGTATTTTGATATATACATTTTTTTTTCTTCCCCCCAAGAAAACCCCAGATTTTCAATGTGGCCTCAGACTTTTGGACCCCATTGTATAATCATTCATTTTCTTTGTAATTTCACCAGCTGACGTATATATATATATATATATATATATATATATATATATTGTGCAAATCACATATGACAAAATCATTCAAATAGTTTGTCAAAGTTACGCCAAATTGTGACAGAACTGAACTATTTGTGAAAAAAATCTTCTATGATCAAAGTGACATTGGCAAGGATACTGGCAAAGGATTATGGGCCGTTAAACTAACGATCAAACCCTCAATCACATATAAGGTTCGACATCAAGAAGCTCCTGAAAGCATATGTACAGAAGACACACGATGGAAACTGTACAGTATCAGTATCAACACAGAACAAAAAAAACAGGATGACAGCAACATCAAATGTACGACTAACACAAATAAAAATAAGAGGTAAACAAACAGCAGTTCTGCAGACATTCTTTGGACGTGGTAACGACGGCCTGGTGAAGGTGATCTGGTTGCATGAGCGCTCTGAGGGACTGAAGTTCTTTGAAGCTCTCCGCTCGCTGTCTGTGCAGGTTTGGTGCTTGAGCGGTCGGCAGATGTCGCTTTGTCCCCGAGGGAAGAACATCAGCTGGGGTTGTTCTCCATCGACTCGACACGGTACACATTTCATCTTCATGCATGTGGCTTTGATGACAACAGTTTCCAAAAGCCACCGTGGCACCATGCATGACTTTTTTTTAACGTCCGTTTTGCACCAAAGTCTCAGTTCTCTAATGGTTTTGTGTATCTCTGAACCAAAACCTGGAGTACATCCTTAAAGTCAGATGTGGATTAAAGAAAGTATGGAAACTCAATCGGATCTGATTTTAAGATGTGAAACGTCCTCAAAACAAAGAAAAGATGAATAATAAAAAACAACCACCAGGTGACAGCATAGTACAGGATTTGGAGTGCTGTTAGTCTGCATCAGGCGCAGATGCAGCGGCTGCACTGTCTGCCAGTGAAGAGGGGGAGATCCCACAGTGACTGTGCTCGTCTTCTGAGTCTGCAGAGGAGAGCAGATATTTGGCACATTTAGAGCTCCTGTTCCACAGCTCTGACTGATGTCTGATAGGGGAATGAGGCGCTACGACAACTGACATGCCACGTGTTTACAATCAGATGGAGGGAACGGAGCTTAATTTGGATGAACTAACCACATATATGGAAAATCTTTGTAGTTGTATATAGTACATCTTATCATGTGATTTTGAATGAAACAATTAAGAATGAAAATGTGGTCATGTCAATCCAAACCCATATGATTTTCTTTAGTGGAACACAACATTTTACAGAATGTCTTGGCTGTTCTTTCATAAAAGTAAACTGAATTGGAAAAGTGAAGAAAAGTGAATTGGGAAGGGGCTCAAAGCTCAAAACAAAAAAGCACCAAAGAAGCAATGAGCTCAGTTTAACATCAGTGACTATTGGTCATGTGTTAAATGTCAAACAAAACTATTGTACATAATGTATAAGTCATATGGACTACTTCTTTTCTGGAACTTCTTTTTCAGAGCAGGAGCCCCAATTCACTGTATGGACAAAAACGTCTGGGACATTGTACCTGAAAGAAAGTCATACAGGTTTGGAACAACACAAGGCCAAGTAAACGGATTCATTTTTGGGTGAAATGCAGATGTGAAAGAAAATGCGTGAAGGTGTCAAATCAAATCACCATGGGTTTTTCTGCCAATTGTCCTGATGAGAGGAAATGAACCTAAACTAGCTCTCCTGCTGATAGCGACTGAATCCCATTTTACATACTATCTGTTCTAAATAATTATGAGCTAGGGAGTGTGTACCAAATCATAATTTACTAATATAAAGTATGCCAAAGGTGACCAGATAGCAAACTACTTCCAACTGATTTTAGCGGAATGCATCCTTGAGTGTTTCTTTGGACTGATATGACTCCCAAAATGCTAGTTTTTTTCTATATTATGCGAGTGCAGTTTTATGATGTTGCAGTCACTATTGTACACTGTGTCCTAACCAGGTGCAGCACAGTAAAACAACCAATACAAATTCAGGAAAATCTCTTCCATGTTAATTTTTATTTTTTTTTTCCAACCAGTTCTGTGTGAAACCTCATTGGTTAAAACATCAGATTTGCTGTGATTTTTGTTGTGAGTGTGGACAGACTTGTAACTGCAAACTTGTCGTGTCATGCCTGGTTAGGACACAGTGCTGCAAATTAGGTTGCTAGTATGCAAATTAGCATTCAGCCGCTATGTGATGCCAACAGCAGTTAAAAGAGATGATGGAGTTACCGTCCGATCTCTTGCTTTCACTGTCGTCACTGTCAGGTGAGTTCAGTTCCTCGTTCCCTGACATTCAGATAAGACACGGGTCACTAACTGAGTCCACTCAGGGCGAACAAACAGACAGACAAACAAATAAAAGAAAAGACAAGTGCTTTTCCAACATAAACATCCATCCATTTGGTCTGCTACACTAACCGTTTAACCGTTCTTTCTGAAAAAGTGTAACCTTTGTTGTATCCTTTTCTAGCTGTAGTAAAACATGTCTGACAAGAACATAAATGCATATACACCACAGAATTCAGCATACTGCAGCACACAGCGCTTGCAAAACACAATACATTGCAGAGTACAACACTAGTAAGTAGTATACACTAGTTAGTATGCTTGCTTGAGGACATTAAACGCTATACATTACATGGCACTCTATACACCACACAGCACACTGTAAATTGTAGAGGACAGAATACACTATAGAGCACACTACAAAACACATAAGAATTAGAGTATACTAAAGTATACTAAAAACATTTACGAACAAAGCCACCTTCTTTCCAACATGTAGTAGTTTGGCTGCGATAGTGCTTGGTTACAACAAATACAATAGTAAGCGAGAAAAAGTGGTAAAGCAAGAATAGTAGTTTACAGTAGTGAGTGATAGACCTGTATATACGGGCCCATATTTAGCCATTTTGAAATATTGATTATTAGCATAGTATTATAACTTTGTCATATTCACACTCTACATATTCTGTTCACAAATCTTTTTCTTTTTACATTTTTTTTTTAATTCATTTTGAGAAAATATTGTGTAAATTACAATTGCACAGTATTTTAAATTAATTTAATTTGGAAAATATATAAGTTATTTAAATTCTTAAATTTCATTACTTTTCTTTGGACATTAAATAAATATGTGATGTAATAATAATAATAATAACAATAAACAATATTAATACATATTTAAAATATTATTTTAAATAATATTTATGTATTTTTTGGCATCTGCTAACAACCAGCCAGTATATAAATATCATTATTGGCTTTGGCCATTACCACTAGTTTACATCATGTACATTATTTAACATTATATACAGATGTAATGTCAATAATAATAATAATAATAATGATCAAAATATTAAAATAATCAAAACCCATATCGGTCAACCACTAGTTTATATCATGCATAAGGTAAACCAAAGTATCGGTCAGTACAGGTGTTTAGGATTAGAAATAGTTTAGGAAAAGTAATATTGGGATAAAATCAAATAAAAAAAAAAATCCACAGATTTGAAAACTTTGACGCTCACCGTTGTGCGCTCGCTGGCTGTTGTCCGTGTCACTGCTGGTCTCGGGCTCTTTGGCATCGGACGCTGGTGTTTGAGCCCCATTCACCCCCCCTGGGTCTTTATTGCCCTCTTCCTCTCTGGGCTGTTGCTCTGTGGGCTCCTCGTTATCGCCTGTAGCTTCTCCATCTGTCTTTGAATCCTTCTCTTGTCTTGTGTCTGTGTCGGTTTTATTATCTTTCTCCTCGTTCTCTTCCTGTTTGGCCTTCTCTTCCAGATCTAACACAGACAAATTCAGTTCATCAATACTGGCACTGTGAAAGTGAGGTCCTTTTAAGCATGAAAAATTACGAATATGGAATACTGGATATGGGATATTCAAATTCTGGATACACCAATTGTTTAAAAGTTTAGGGTTGGTAAGAATTTTTAATGTTTCTGAAAGAAGTTTCTTATGCTTACCAAATACATTAAAGCAGCTATATTGTTAAATATTATTACTATTTAAAATGACTGTTTTCTATTTTTATATATCTTAAAATGTAATTTATTCCTGTGATGCAAAGCTGAATTTTCAGCATCATTACTCCAGTCTTCAGAGTTCTTCAGAAATAATTTCTGTTTATTGTCAAGGTTGAAAGCAGTTGGTCTGCTTAATATTTCTGTGGAAACCATTTTTTTTTTTTGAGTTTCAGTTTTCAATTTTCAGTATTTTTGATGAATAGAATGTTCAAAACAGAAATCTTTCAATGCTATAAATGTCTCTACTGTAAATTTTGATCAATATAATGAGTCATTGGTAACTAAAAGTATTAATTTCCTTTTTTAGACATTCAGATCCTTTTTTGTTTGAACACTATTTGAATATAGTGATGAAAGTATGAATAGAAATGAATGAAACAGGAAGTCTAATGTGAAGTATTGCCAGAAAACATGTCTTTGAAATGATAAAGCATTCCTCTGAGATCAGCTGTCACATTCTAAGTCAATCCACACATGTACTGTAGTCAATCGTGATTTAATATTACAACATTTTTCATCTACAAAATCTGTGCCAAATGGAGATCTAGATTCATGTTATGAAGATTTATTTTTGTTAAATCTTTTATTCATATTGAATTCATATCTCAATGAAAGCTAGATTTTCACAGTTTCTGAAGAGACGAGTGCTGCTTGGCCTTGCATACTAAGGCATTGTAAATGATTGCCAGGGTATTGCTATACAATTGATAAGGTGTTCTATGTGGTTGCTAGGGTGTTCTGTGCAGTTGCTATGGCATTGCTTACTGCCCCAAGTCATTAGAGCTCTTACTCTCATGATTTTCTGGTCTTTAGTTATGGCCTGGATCCATTGTCCAACCAGCGCATCACTATTTGATGTATCTTTATTTATATTCAGTGTAAGTTACCAAATAGCCAAATATTAATATTTTGGGGTTTGTTTAAATCCCTAACCCTTAGTACGAGCAACAGGAGCAAACATTACTAATAATAGCACATCATCTCGATTTTGATTAAGGGCATGTGTATATGTTTGCGTTTATACCTTTGGCAGCCTGTGCTTTCCATTTTTCTCTGTTTTTATGCACTTCCTCATTCCAGGTGCTTTTGAAGGTCTTAAAATCGACAGCGTTTACGGAGCAGTTCAGGGAAGTGCCGCCCTCCGAACCAGTGCCTCTCACAGTAGAGCGTTTACCGTCCGACGGGATGTTATTCAGACTGCACAAAAACACACATAGACACAAAGAGTGAGCCTTTATTTAGCTTCCAGTAAATGTTTGTCTTTAGATTATATGGAAGTGCATCACTTTTAAGTGTAATGTCATTAGTTGTCAAGCTGATGAAGGATACCGTCTCGGTTACGTATGGTAACCCTCGTTCCCTGAAGGAGGGAACGGAGACGTCACGTCGATGACCGACGAATTGGGATCTCGCTTAGAGAGACCAATCTACTTAGGGTGTAAACTAAATGAGCCAATGTACATTGGCATGCGATTATTGCATCCAGCTGTAGCTGATCACAGCGTGAGTATAAGTAGGCAGCAGATGCAGCGCATATTCAGGTTTTTGCTGAGGAGCCGAGCCGGCAACCCGGCCGCTCAGCAGTGGTACAGGACCTGTGGCGACGGGATGTGCTGCAACCGACATCTTATCGTCGGGGGGAGCCTTGGAAGAAACAGGTGGTTCCCCCCGGGAGGGTCCAGCCTGCTCTTTTGAGAGCTCCGCTGGTTTCGGAGTGCCGGTTGGCTGGGGCATCCCCGGAGGGGAATTCCTCACCGTGACCGTAAGACCAGTCCGCCCACTGCCAGAAAAAGGGCGCCCCCGGCTGCCGCCAGAGGGAACCCCAGATCTAGGCAGTGGCACGGGCACTCCGTCCCCTTGCAGGTAACAGAGTCTGGTCCGCAAATCCGAGATGGTCATACCCCCGCAATGGGAGCATGAGTCATCCACGAAAGCCACCTCAGCGTGCTTCGCGCCCAGACACGAGAGGCAGCGATCGTGACCATCACCTGGCGCCAGGTAACGACCGCACCCAGAAACACACGGATGGTACGACATCTTTAAAAAGACGCGTCTTTAAAAAGACGTTCCACCCGTGAAGCTCTTTTAGATGGAAATTGCTCTTTTAGTGTGCTGAAGCGCACAGGGGAGAT